TTCCATATAATAAATTTCCCAAAAGTAGAATTGCTAAATCATAGGAGTTTTTTTGTGACATGCCTTAGAACAACATTCATGTTTTCTCTTTCCTTTATAGATTCCCACAGGATTCATATAACATTCTAAGTTATGGTGGTCACTGAACGCTGTTAGAAGACTCTAGTTAATTGAGTGGTTTACTATTTTAAAGGTAAGACTAATCTTTGCAAAGATTTGGAAAAAATAAAACTGATTTACCATTTCTTTCCTAAAACAATAGATTCTACACAATACAAAGCTTTGGTTAGGGAGTATATGGTGATAGGCAACTCTTTATTGAAAAGCAGTTTTCTATTCTGTTTAACTTAGTAAGTACTTGCATTTACTGATTTTACTATATTATAATACATTATTATTGTAAAATATCATATATTAGGTGAGTACAGTATAACTTAAAGAATATAAGACAGCATACTGCTATCTAAATATGTAACTCTTTGCCAGTACTCTTAAATATACAGATTCTTCATTTTTAACATAAGAGAAATTAAATAGACAAAATATGGTCCTTTCTGGTTCTAAAATTCTCTGCTATAATTCTTGTCAATAAAGACAGCAAGCTATGTTACTCAACTTCTAAAATATTCCTCCTAGTTTGACCGAAAAATAAAAGTATTAGAAACAATTTCCTAGATCCATTCAAATTGTATAAATCTTCAGATAAATATTTGTACATTCTTTGTTATATGCAACAGAAATTGATTATACTGATTCCTGCCACAAGTGTTTTTATTAAGATTCAGTGAGGGAATGCACTTAGCTTGCTTTGTATAGTTCTTACTACATATGGGCACTCAAGTAATACCAACTGTCATTATTTTATCTGCATGAGCTTTGGCTTGTATATAAATTACATATCACTATATTTTGTTTAAATTATAGAAGTTATTCAAAATAGACTTAAATAATTATTTTCAACAAGTTTTTATGACAAAATCTGTAATGCTTTAACCCTTTTAACAAAGCAAAAATATATATATATATATACTTCCAGATATATTTACTTCTGAGCTAGAATAGAGATAGCTAAGAAATAACAAGCAGAACAGATTACAAAGAGTACAGTTATAGTCATCAATCACCACCAGTTTATTTATGGTCAACCCATCAACTGAGTTATATCATTATATAACTCAGGTAACAATGACAATCCTTTGGTGGGAGCATCTTTGCAGAGTTCTGGCACTTAAAATAGCTACACCTAGCATACATAAGGGAGCTCTGGTAGCGTAGTGCCTAAGGCACTTGACTGGTAACCAGAAGGCTGGCAGTTCAAACCCACCAGCCACTCCTCGGAAGGAAGATGGGGCAATCTACTTCCGTAGTGATACTGCCTCGGAAACCCAAGGAGGGGTCGCTATGAGTCGGGTCCAACTTGACGGCACATAACAACAACAACAGCATACATGAAAGTAAGCACGTGTATGTTTATGCACTTTTTATTTCATAAGATTTCAAACTACAACATATTAAAGCAAGACAGGGATATATACTCTCATTAAATTCTTTAGAGCTAAAAAGTAAACTCAGAACCCTGGCAGAAATTCAGATAAATTCTGGCTATATTGCAACCAAGCACCACGTAAGTTTTGTCTACACTCCTTCTGCTCCAAATGTAACTCCATCCATTTGAGAGATTCTCATGCTATTTTTTTCTGTATAAAATCCTTACCTTCCAACCTCTTTGAAAATCATAGCTAAATCTAGCCTTCTCTAGGAGATCATCACTAATCCTCCTTGTTTTGAGATGCTAATACAATTGGCCTGTGAATGAACATGGCTCTACCACTTTGTAATGAATGCACAGAAACCCTAAAATCTAAATATCTTTACCCTTTCACAGCCTCAGGTACTTATTACTCTTCTCACACAGGTGCTTAAGACATATGTTTGGAGTTGAATTGAATTTAGCTTTTAAGAATGTCAGACTCAAAATTAACATATGGTCACTGACCTCTACTTGCTGTACAGCTATGCAAAAATCAACTATTGATGACAAAGGACATAGGACAGCAGCTACAGTTACTCGCAGAATAGTATTAAGCATCCCTTTCAACAAGAATCTTTTCAGTAATCCATATGGCAGTTCAAACTCACCAGCCACTCCTCGGAACGAAGGTTGGGCAATCTACTTCCGTAGTGACACCACCTCAGAAACCCAAGGAGGGGTCGCTATGAGTCAGGTCTGACTCAATGAATAACAACAACAACAATACACACACATACACACAAATATATAGGAGCTCTGGTAACATAGTGCCTACGGCACTTGACTGTTAACCAGAGGGCTCAAGGTTCAAACCCACCAGCCATTCCTCGGAAGGAAGGTTGGGCAATCTACTTCCATAGTGATACTGCCTTGGAAAGCCAAGGAGGGGTCTCTATGAGTCGGGTCCGACTCAAGGGCACATAACAACAACATACACATAAATGTCATGGTGAAGGACAGTAGATATATCCAAGTGGTAGCCCAATTTGAATTGATGTTCTGGGTATAGTATCTTTAAAACAGATCAACCAAGCCTGAGATTCAAGGTACATGGCTTTTAATCTGGCATATAACAACATGTAGAATTTTATTCAAAATCAATTAGGAAGGAGAATCTGAAGTAGTTTATAATCACCCAGGACAACTCAACTCACTGCCATCGAGTCAAGCCCCATTCATAACGACCCCTCCTTGGGTTTCTGAGGCAGTATAACTTGGGAAGTATATTGCCCAACCTTCCTTCTGAGGATGGCTAGTGGGTTTAAACCTCCAGCCTTCTGGTTAGCAGTCAAATGCCTTAGGCACTATGCTACCAGAGCTCCTACCTAGGACAAACAGCAGTGTAAATTCACCAGCTTACCCCAAAGCTACACTAACTCTCCTGCTCTCTGCCACAATAAGTCAAAAATAACCCGGCTTATCTGAACATTCTACCAGAACAACATTATGAAAATGATTACACTAAGTTAATCAGCCCTGGTGAGTTAAAAAAAAGTATTCAGATATTCAGGTAAGAGGGTAAGAGATAAACTAGTGTTTGGATACTGGTGCAGTTTTAGGAGTCCAGTGGTGTGAGGTATATAAGCATCTCTGAGGTTAAACATGAGTTATTTGATTTATACCTCCAACAGCAACAAAGAAGCATAGACTCTGGTAGACCTCTTCCAGTTGAATCAGAATATATTGCACTTAGAAGTTGTACTCTGATTCATTTATCAGGTGACCCAGAAGGCTGCCCAGTTTTAAAGGGATCCCAGAGTGTAGCAAGAAAATACTTAACAGCAGAGTATAACCACTAACCTTTAGAATTTTGAAAGACTTCCTACTGATAAATTCAGAATAGCAATATATTCATTATACACTGCTTCTATTCCCAAGATAAAATAATCATCTTGTTCTTTTTCCAATGCTCATATACTCCATTAACAGTAAGTGCATAAACCACAGTGATCAGTGGGCAGCTCTCCACCATGGCTTAGTCACACTATAGGCTACTAAGACCAGGTAAGGTTAGAAAGGTTCAGGACCAGTAATGAAGAAGAAAACTTACTTATATGACTAACCTCACTTGAATTTAAAATAGAGAATAAAAGGAAATGAGAAAAGCAAGAAAATATGTTCATTCCAAATGAAAATATAAAGGGGTGGAGTTACTTTTCACTTTTCAGTTTTCCATATTGCTATGACTCAATTCCCATCTGCTAATGTAAAACACTAGAATGGTGCCCAGCTACTATTACTGAATATTTTGATCAAAGATTCTATAGGAGAATATTGATCAAAACAGGGAAAATTTAGAACAGATTTTCAAATTTTCATGGACTCCATACTTTCTGGAGCTAGAGGGGCTGGATGAACCATTGAAACTATTTCCCTGAGATAATTTTTTAAATTTAAACCAAAAATATCCCCTGAAGTCTTCTTAAAACCAAAAAAAAAAAGAAAAAAGAAAACCTCACTGCAAAATCAAACAATAGTTTGGCTAAAGTAGTAAGAAAAAAAAAGGTCTGGCTTGAGAATTATGCTCTTTTAATTATCAATGAGCTATCAAAGTGATAATAGCAATTGGAAAGACTAGATAGGAACCTTGTAGAGCAGAGAATTTATTTTAATGGGGTGATTCAGAAAAGGACTGTGAGAAGGTTTGCGTAAGTTGAAGAATGTAATCAATCTCATTGAACTATACATGCAGAAACTATTGAACTGGGGTATGTTTTGCTGTATACATTCTCAACAGCAACTACAAAATAAATTTAAAAAGAAAAAAATATTTTCCAAGGTAGGTATACTCTAAAATATGTTCAGAACTTAAAATCAACTGTTCTAAAGAAATAATAGAAGAAAATGTGACCTACATATTACAGAAATCAAAACTTGGCTCCATTGAAAAACAATCCATGCTCTTGATGTCCTTTAATTTCCTTTTAGCAAAGCATTTTCACATATGTAATAAATGCCCAAAATATCGATAAGAGAGAAAAAAATGATTTGGGAAAAAAAAAAATTCAATCCCCCATCCCGTTGGCTTTTAGACAGTAAATGCTCAGAGTGGGCGGGTGAGTACAAATAAGTCTTTCTTTGGCAAATTACTGTATCTGACAGCATTTTTAACTTTGGTCAAATACTACAGATGCCTAACACCATGGATTTTGCGTCAAAGTTGGGGGACGAACTGTTTAAATACATGAAGACTTGTAACTTTCACCTATCTGTAGTGGTCTTTCTGAGGCCAAGTCTCAGGCCTGTCCCAACTGCGTCAGGCGCGTGGCGCTCCACTCAGCGTAAAGGCCCTCTGCCCTACCCCCTGTGCCCTTTAAGTTGGAAGCCCCGAGGGTGTGTAAGGGAAGGGGCGTGTGACGCAGACGCCGTCGCCTAGGGCAGCTTTGAGATTCTGGCCTGACGCCCCCTGGTGCCTACCTGACCGCATGCCGAGCCCGCCTGGCCTCAGCTTCACTAAAACAAAGGAGCAATGCTGTCCTGTTCCTTGTTCCTTTTCAAGCATATAAACGCCTCACTGGTGTCCCTGCGCCAAGGGCGCCGTGGCTTCGCGATCCCACCGCGCTGGACCCGGGGGCGCTCCTGGGGTCACTGGATGGCTGTCCCCTACCGCCTGCTGACGGCCTCCGCCTCCTCCCGCGATCCTCCCAGGCTCACCACCCACTCCCGGGTGCGCCAGAACTTCCACCCTGACTCCGAAGCCGCCATTAACCGCCAGATCAACCTCGAGCTCTACGCGTCCTACGTGTACTTGTCTATGGCCTATTACTTTTCCCGGGATGACGTGGCCTTGAACAACTTCGCCAGGTATTTCCTTCACCTGTCCCGGGAGGAAACAGAGCATGCGGAGAAGTTCATGCGGCTACAGAACCAGCGGGGAGGCCGCATCTACCTGCAGGACATCAAGAAACCCGACCTTGACGACTGGGAAAGCGGGCTGAAAGCCATGGAGTGTGCTCTGCTCTTGGAAAAAAACGTGAACCAGTCGTTGCTGGAATTGCACGCTCTGGCCTCAGACAAAGATGACCCCCACTTGTGTGACTTTCTGGAGACCTACTATCTGAATGAGCAAGTGAAGTCAATCAAAGAACTAGGTGACCATGTACACAACTTGGTTAAGATGGGAGCCCCAGATTCTGACCTAGCAGAGTACCTTTTTGACAAACACACCCTTGGAAATGAAAACAAGCAGACCTAAGCCACAAGCTGCCTTCTTCACGGTCCAGTGGGTTCCAGGACCCAGAGTTAGCTGTCTACAGCTTACCTGCCTTTTAAATACACTGAACTGAAACCTCCACCTTTATATTTTTTCCTGTCAAACTACTCAATAAAGTGATTTATACGGAAAATGTATTTAGCCCAATGTTAACCATGATATTTTGGCCAGTATCAAAATATTCTTTTTACTCAGCCTGAAAGGAAGATTAGGATAATATGTTATAATAAGGGCTGGGGGTGTGGGAGGGGTGGCAGTTAATCAACTGAAAAGTACATGCAAACTAACTTTCTCTTGTTACCAATTATTTCAGACCATTAAACTATGCTTACCTATAATCTTGAGACTTTCTGTACAAGGCTAATGTGGCAACATATGTATGATAAATGTACAAATAACTAAAGTGAGATAAAGAATATACATAAAAAACTAAACTCTGCCGTCCAGTAGATTATGACTCAGCGACCCCCACTGGGTTTCCTAGGCAGTAAATCTTTACAGAAGTAGATTGCGCCCATCTTCCTTCCCCTGAGCAGCTGGAGGGCCAGCCTTCTGGTTAGCAGTCAAATGCCTTAGGCAGTGTGCCACCAAAACTCCTTAAAGAATATGTATATAGTACCGCAAAAATTATACATGCAAAATTCATTAACAACTTTCCTAAAGTGTGTTCCAAGAAACAGTAATCCAGAGATAATCTGCTTTTAAAAAGATTTTGTGATAAATTTGGGATAAACTACCTAAGGTGTAAACTCTGGCCATAGAAAATCACAATGTGTATCAGTATTTTAAGCGTTCTGAAAAATCTTGCAATTAAAAACAAACAACAGACCAGAAATTTTGGGTTGTTTCCATGTAACTCAGTGTTCCTCAAACATATTCAATTTCTGATTTTTTTTGTTTCCCTAGGATAATAGAACAACCAAGGTTGGATTCATGATTCTATACACTTCACAGGTGGGCTATACAGTGTCCCTTTTAATATACCAAGAAAAGTGAATACACTGTAAAAAACACTTTTCTGTAATCTGTAAAATGGAGGAGAAAGAACACTGGGGTGGAAAAGTCCAGAAAGGCTCCAGAATAGGCATCCAGCTGGGCAGATGTTTTCATTAGAGGACGCTGGCTGGGATGAGATGAGTGGGAGAATATTTGATGAGCAGACATTGGGCTGGACTAGAGCTCTGGGTGGTGTTTAGAAAGCTGGATAAGGGGCAGCAAGTGGCTATGAGTAGGAGGGGCTTGGGATTAATTCAGTGGGCAGCAGCTGAACCTTGAAGGGCTCTCAGCAGCACAATGCTGTGATAAGAGTTGAGCAGTTAGAAGCTTAATCTGGTTGTACAGAATAAAAATCTGAAAACAGCTTAAATGACAGTGTTAGTTTAGGTCCCCGGAGAAGGAGATAGTAAAATGGGATTAAATGAGCAAGGAATTTATAAGGAGAACCAGAAAAGCCTCTGAAAGGAAATGGGAAGAACCTGGGAGAAACAAGAAAGGTAAGATGCCATGCAAGTCTGACCCTTAAGGAAGGAAGGATGGAAAGTTGTGCCCAGATCTAAGAAGAGTTAGCAAAGCTTTGGGGAAGACCTTTAGCTAACGTTACTTGTCAGGGGAGTCCAAGTCTCCCAGAAATAGGGCTACCTAAATATCTTTCCAGCACCGACTTACTGACTAGGAGCAATCCAGAGGAAGCATGGCCTTCAAACAAACTGAGTGATGAATCACTTCAGATGGAGGTCCAGCAGATGGAGGCCCTTGGAAAATTATTCTCCCTGCAGTCCAAGATATGAAAAACACATGGCACAACTGCGAAAATGTCAATAAAATAGATTAAAATATCATGCATTTATACAATAGAATACTTCCAGCTATTAAACATGATTTAGTCAAATGGTTAATCATGTGGACAGAAATTCACAATTTGTACCTTAAAAACAAGCATATTACAAGGCAGGATTATACTATGATCTTATATTAGAAAATTATGTATATAGATGTAAAATGACAGCCAATATATACACCAACAGATGAGGACAGACGATCTCTTAAATAGCAAGGTTATGTTTGCTATTTTCTTCAATTACTTATCTGGTCTTTTTTTATATACATCAATTTCTTATCGTGGACACATTATTATAATAAAAAGTTAAAATATTAGAATAAGCAAAAACAATGGAAATAAAAACAAAGAGATGATGGTGACAGTTTTGAGGTAGAATATTATTTTTCAATTTTCTAACTGATTGGATAAAGGGAGTTAAAAGAATGGAGTAGGGGAATAAAGCTGATGGGCATCAAACCTGAGAGTCTGGAAAATGGGGGATTTAAGAATAAATAAGGATCTCAGCAGGGGGAATGATTGGGGTGGGAGAGCACATAATGATGCTGGTTTTGATTACACAGATCAATCTCATTTTGAATTCTATCCTTTAGTGGGCCTATTTTGCCGCCCAGGAATCCTACTACATTACTTCAGAAAACTTTCTCTTCAATTCTTCTATATAAGTGTTTTCCAAACTGCAAATTATAGCCCATTAGAGTGTCATGAAATTATTTAGTGAGTCACTATCTGCCTTTTGCCAACAGAATAGAAGTGAAAATATCAGAGCATGACATGTGAAATAGGGAATTGTTTCATGAAATTCTTGTTTCAGTTATGTCAGTGTGTTTATGTATTTAGATCCTGGATGGTGATATTTCTTATTTGGTGTTGCTGTCAAAATGTTTAATAGCCCCATCCTAGAGTCCTTGTGTGGTCCAAACGGTTAAGTACTCTGCTACTCAGAGGTGCCTCAGAAGACAGACCTAAGAGATCTTCTGAAATAAATTCTACTCTGCACATGTGCATTGCCATGAGTCAGAACCAACTTGACAGAAACTAACAACAACACATTACTATTTCACACATTCTTATCTCTCCTCAATTCCAGAACTCTCCTATACTTTCTTTTGATAATCCTCTTATTTCACAGAGAAATTGAAAATAATCACGTGAGAATTGCACACGTTCCATTCACTGCATTAGTCAGATAATTATACCTGTATTCACATAGTGCTCTCTCTATTCTATTACAGTGGTTAAAGCATCCATGCTGCCTCCTGAAGCCAATCTCTGACCGTGCCCTGAATCCCAACCCTGCCACATACTCCAAGACACAAGGACATTACATCTACAATTATTCTCTCTCCTGCATTAACAATTTTGCCTTTTCTATTGGATGATTCCCACAAGGATACAAATATGGTGTTATTTCTCTTTATCTTTTTTCTTTAAATACCACCTTTAAACTCGCATTCCTTCCAGCAAACAAAAGTTAAAATTCTCTACTTTGCTCTCTTTTAAAAGAACACTTATTGAAAAAAATTGTTTCTGCCACCTGTCTCTCCACTTCTGTTCACCACCACATCAATCAGTTTTTCGCTGTCAAGGTCTTCAGTCACTTTTGTTGCAGTTATTAGCTGCCGTTGAGTCAGTCTGGACTCATGGAAATCTTGTGAATAATAGAAGGAAATTTTTCCTGGTTCTGTGCCATTTTCATGATCATATGTTTGGGTCCATTGTTGTGGCTACTGTGTCAATCCATCTCATGGAAGGGTCCCCTTTTCTTCACTGACTTTCTACTTTACTAACCGTGATATCTTTTTCTAGAGCTCTGTCTTTCCTAATAATGTGTCCAGAGTAAGCAAATATGTTGTTAAATCCAAAAGTCTTTTCTCAGCCTTTCTCTTAATCAGCTAACTGGCCAGACTTGTCAATTCTTTCTTGAAATACTTGCTTCTATTGGCTTCAGTGCAACTCTTTCTCCTAGCTCTTCTCCTTCCTCACTGGCTTCTCTAGGTGTTAATCTCCTTTTCTGATTCTCCCACATCTTCCTGACCTTCAAATGTTACAGTATCCAAAACTGCATCATCACATCTGGACTGCTTCTGTACCTCCCAAAATATTTCATCCAGGCCAGTAATTTTTATTTAAATAATATGTATTTATTCAAAAACACCTGTTTATATAGATTATTTGACTTATTTGAACTCAAGGCTTATAGAATACATCTAAATGCTTAATTGATATTTTGCCTCAGATATCTAATAGATATCTCGTATTTAATATGTTCATAACTATACTTTTCACTTCACCACCCCCAAAATCTGTTCAACCCAAAATCTTCCACTTCATAACAAATGTGTGTGTATGTGTATGTGTGTGTGCGCATGTGCATATAAGAAATAAATACATTTTATCAGTTTCTAAGGCCCCATAATTCTTGATTACTATTTCTGTCAAATCCTAATACAGTCCTTCAGCCAATCATATCAGGTTTTCCTTCAAAATGGATCCTGAATTATACCACTTCTTACTACCTTCATTATTGTCACTTCAGTGACATGTGATCACATACAATCATTTCTCAAAAAAGCAGTTAAAACTTTTCTTTTTTAGTATAATAAGTCAGATCATGTTACTTCTCCGTTCAAAACCATTAGATGATATCCATTCTCATTTGGAGTAAAAAGACAAAACTCTTCTTCTTTTTTTTTAATTGTACATGGTCTATTAATTATAAATTAATTAAAAATCAATTATCAATTATAAGTCAATTTAAAATGTCTTTAAAATTCAGTTTTTGAAAACTATCTCTTTTTTTTTTTTTTTGATTTGGGTGAAGGTTTACAGAGCAAATTCACTTTCCATACAGCAGTTCACATATACTGTCTCATGACATTGACCACAGTTTACCACAATGCAACAGCTCCCTTCCCACTTCCTCCCCATAATTACCTCTTCCCTGTGTCCATCCCTCCATGCACTCCTGCCCCGAGCTGTCTCCCTGTGCATAAGCAGCCCTTCTTTCTCCCATGATTGTTCTCTCCAAGGAGTGTATCTACTTGAGGTAAATATTCAACTCATATGCCTGTCTTTTCTTTAGCTAGAAACCACAGGTGTGGGTTCAATTCCAGACCTGAAGGGCAGCTAGGGACCATAGTCT